TATGATGATTATTATGTATGATTGTAAGTTCTGTAAACATGTTTAGATTTTTATGAGTTCCTATTTTTAAAGAAAATTATGCCGAAATTTTTGGATATTAGTATGGACTACTTTGATTTTAAATTGACAGGTTGTTTTAGATTGCAAAGAGTCTTTAGGTAATGTAGGATTTTTTGAATTTTAGGTTACATGAGATTACCTTGATTTCGTTACGCCGTGCCTTCAGGTACGAACAATTACTAGTTAATAATAATATTGAATACATTCATTTTAAGTGCTGAATTTGAATTAAGAAACATACCTTTAGAGTTTATCTAACTTTCGAGTGGAGTTACATGTCACAAACGTGCTCCGAATTGAGTGTGTAACCTTTTTAAGCTTATGACCAAAAAAAAACCCCTTTTTAAGCTTACTTTTAGACAATCTGAAAAATATATTAATGTTTCTGGTATTTAAAATTTGAGAAAAATTACTATTATATTTTAAACAGTTATACGAGTGTACATAAAAAATAAGCAATGTTATTGGGACATAATTTATGAACATAATTTAAGGACATAATGAGTTGTCACAAATGATATGATAATGAATTCATTAATGCTACAATAGGACACATCATTAAATAAATTTCACTATCATTTCATTGGTGACAACTCATTATGTCTATAAATTATGTCACAATAGCATTAGTGTAACTAATACTAATGAATTCAACCCCAGTTTTCCATTGGAGTTATTGAGTGAGTAACCCTTTTAAGCTTACTTTTAGGCAATCTAAAACATATTATTTTTTTGGGATTTAAAAATTTAAGAAAAATTACTATCATATTCCAAATAGTTATACGAATATACAGAAAAATTGGAGGTAAAAATGGACACCAAATGACACTACACTCTCTGCAAGGCGAGAGTGAACATGCACAAGAAATTGGAATTTATCTCTCACTTGCTCTTGCAAGTCACACCCCGCCTTCCGGACCTCCGTTTGCTTCACCACCACTACCATTAGATTCGTCTTGATCTCTAGAATACAAATGTGTTTTCAAAATTCATTTTTGACCTTTCTAGAGTGTGGGGGGTGAACTGCTCTCTTCATCTATGACTTTGATTTGGATGATTTTTAATCATTGATTAAACAAACAATAAAGTAATAAACAATAATAAAAGGAAATAAATGTATGCTTGTCATGTTTTTAATGGATGAAAAATAAAATTTAGTAACAAAAATATTATTTTTTTGTATCTTTTTTCGAAGGACAACGCCAAACGCTAGAGGAACTAGTCGGCGTTGGCCGACCACTGATTATACTGGGACATGATCTAATTCAGCTTAAATTACGGTAATTAGTCTCTGAGTTTGAGAGAATAGTTGACATAAGTCGGAATAACGTGTAACCAAAAAAAAAAAACCCACTAAAGTTCATAGAACCGCATGCATAAATGTGTCTATTATATATGCGGAGGCCAACTTACACTTTGACCCTTTAATTTCCATATTTTCACATCATATATATATCTCAAAATATCCCGTTATCACTTACCCCTCAATTACATTAGTTTTTTTTTTCCCAGTTTATCACAACCTAATGAAAATTTCTGTTAAAGTATTTATAATTACGGTAAGTAATCAATAAGGCATTCTGAGAAACTTGGCAGAGTTGAAACTGAGGTTGGATCATAATCTGAAGATGAGAAGTATACTGTGTTCGTGGACAAGTCTACAGTATAAAAAAAATTCGGTATCATATTTTTATTTATAATTTTTACGAATATTTTTATTATTTTGTACCCAAAAAAAATTATTTTGTACCGAATGTTTTTACGGGTACCATAGTCTAAGTCGTGTGTTCATTAAATGAACAGATATCCATCTCTTTTGTGTTTAATACATTTGGTTGGCATTCAAAGTGATTAGTTGGTCCGATTTATTATTTTAATTGACAAGCAATCCCAAATTTCAATGGTCACACACCTAACTCAATAAAATAATTTTCAAATTCTGTCACCGGAGAGAGAGTTGGGGAAGCTTTTTTTATTTTTATTTTCTTAAGTTTCATTATATAATTTATTGAAATAAAAATATGAGTTGTTTCCAGTCACATTCTTTCACCTGATCATATAACCACTTCTTTAAATTCCCCCAACTAACTAACAACCTCTCATTAATGTATCCCAAATCTCCAACCCAAATTTTCATCACAAATCAAGGGAAACCATTAGATCAGTGGATCCCATTTAAAAAGGTTGATAGGACTCTCTCATCCAATGGTCTACCTTCATTTGAGATGGAGATTTGGGATACATCAATTTGAGGTTGTTAGTATTTCCCTTTCCAAATAATCAATTTTTACAGTCCTCCAACTTCTCAAAATCCTCTAACTTCCCAAATGGGGGCTGAGAACTAAAAATATGAACATTGGAACTTGCCCTTCATTAAATGGTTTCAACGAAACTACATTATCAAATCAATAAGTGAGACTAGATTTTTAACTCTGAATAACATTACTTAAATAAAAAATATCAAACATATATCTCTCTTTTCAAAACAAAAATCTTAAAAAATCTCAAATGTATATCTCACCCCCCCCCTCCCCCTCTCTCTCCCCCCTTGAACACAACTCTCTTTTTTTTTTTTTTTGTGTTACAATTTTTTTTTGTTTTCTATTACGAAAAAAATGTCAAAATATTTTTTATTTTTTTATTAAACTTAAAAAATTCAAAATTAAAATTGTTAAAATATTCCCTAAGATCAACTATCACAAGAAAGATAATGTGGATTAGTGATACAATTAATTTAAAAAGACATGGTGAAAAAATTTAAATATAAAAACTAATAGTACTTTTAATCTCAAAAAATAAGAGGAATAAATTTTAAATAAAAAATATTAATATTAAAAATAAAAAGTCTCATTTTTTGTTGCCGCTTTAGTCTTCAAATAGTTTTGGGTAGAAGTGGCAATCATGTCATGTCAGGTCGTATTCGTGTTGTGTTATTCGAGATTTGTGTTGAGTATTAGTTAACCCTAATACAACCTATTTAACTAATCGTGTCGGGTCAACCTATTTATTTTTGTGTCGTATTCGTGTTGACCCATATAACCCATGAATAAAAAAATTATGGCTAATTTTGATGTCTAAAATTTTATTATCATTTAATTGAACATATGCTCATACTTTTTCTATATACTAAAAATTAACTTAATAAATATAATAATGAAAATGAGAAAATAATTTTTTTGTACAAAAATTAGGTTACTACTTGATAAAATATACAAGAAAAATTAGCATTTTATTCTTATACTGTTACTTAAACATGTTAATCGTGTCAATTTTATGTTATGCGTGTTTTGTGTTGTGTCAAAAATTACGACCCTAGTTGTGGGTCTTCGCTTTTGACGGATGAATATTAAAAACTTGTTAGAGCATTAAAAAGAGATGGAGACCAGAAATCAAAGATGCAAAGTATAAAAACAGATATCTATCAATTCTGAATTGAAACATGTGGTTGGAATTAATGAGGGATACTGGTACTTTATTTTTGGCAGATTTTAAAAGTTTTCACTTTGTCTACTCAAAAAGTATTTCTCAAAACGTGTCAAAAAAAAACAACTCGAAGATGCTGGGGTTTTTTTTTTTGTTTTAAATTATGGTACCAATGATAATAATAGTTACCACAATAGTGGTAAAAATACTCATAACGGTGTTAAAAATATTCATAAACCAGAAAATTGTTATAGTTAACAATTTATGCAACCATTTTATTTAAGAAGTTATCATTATAAACAAATTTATAATTTACAAAACACATCAAGATCAATGTTTGTACAATATTCTTGAAAAAAATATTAGTTTGGTTCAAAAAAAAAAAGTTGTTTTACACTTATAATCATAAATTTTGGTATTTGATTTTTGGAACAAAAATTTTGCAGCATGTTTTAAATTTTAACAAATCGAAATTTTGATGTTCGGTTTAAATTTTGGCTCGTAAATTTTATTTTCTTTGGCATCATCATATTAGAACCACATTATTCTGTTATTGAATTTGTTCTTATTTTTTTTGGTTAGCCTAACACTATTATTATATATAAATCACATTTTTAACTCGTTTTTAGAATGATTTGCGTTTTTTTCTTTTGTTGACCATCAATCTGATCAAAGCAAACTTAATGAGCCATTTGGCCCATGTGTAGTACCGTCCATATACCGCCAATTACTAATTTGTGCGAGCAACTTGCAAATTTTTAGAGTTAAGTTACAATATTTTAGGGTGTTTATTGTCGATCCTAAACATTTCAAGAACCATCATAAATGTTAGAATCAATCTTAGAATGTTGAGATTGATCATAAAATGTTAACATCGATCCTAAACACCCAAAAAATAATTTTATCCTCAAAGTTTTTAAGTTCATCCCAAAAAATTGTTATCTGAATTTTTTGATTATAACTAAATCTCCAAAAATTATATCTTCATTTAAAAAAATTATAAATATTGATGTGGTCTTCACTCAGGTACCATAGTCAAATAGGCATGGTTTGTTGATTTTCAAGCACTCAATCTTGACTTAGTTTTAAGCTTCTGCTGGCCGTTGGGGGTTGGTCAGGAAATAACATAGAAAAAATTTGTAACCCAAGTACTATAAATAGATGGAGACATTTCTCAACTTTTGCACACAAAAATTCAAAAACAAACAAGCAATGACAATGATCACCTCAAGAGCTTGTTTGCTTTCACTTCTTTTGGTTTTCTGCTTCACATCTTCATGGGCAGCTTCAGCTCATGAAAATGAAGGTTTTCTTCAATGTTTATCCTATCGATTCCAAAACACCATCTCAATTTCCCAAGTCCTTTACACACCAAAAAACCCTTCATATTTGTCTATCTTGAATTTCTCTGCTCAAAACCTAAGGTTCACGACTCCTCGCTCCCCACGACCTTTAGTCATAATAACCCCAACGCACGAGTCTCACGTTCAACGTGTTGTGTATTGTTCTCGAAAGCATGACATACAGATAAGAACTCGAAGTGGAGGACATGATTTTGAGGGTCTTTCTTATGTTTCTAAAGTACCATTTGTCATCATTGATCTGAGAAACATGAAATCAGTCACTGTCAATGTTGAAGACAATACGGCATGGGTTCAAGCTGGTGCGACTCTTGGCGAAGTTTATTATAGTATTGCAAATATGAGCAGAACTCTTGCCTTTCCAGCAGGTCTTTGCCCTACTGTGGGTTTTGGTGGGCATTTAAGTGGGGGAGGGTATGGTGTGTTGCTACGTAAATTTGGTCTTGCTGCTGACAATATTCTTGATGCTCACCTCGTTGATGTCAATGGGAAAATTCTTGACAAAAATTCAATGGGGGAAGACCTCTTTTGGGCTATTAGAGGAGGTGGAGGTGCTAGTTTCGGGGTCATTTTGGCATGGAAAATAAATTTGGTTGTTGTTCCAGAAACTTTGACTATTTTCTCAGTTAGTAGAACCTTGGAACAGAATGCAACTAAGCTTATTCATCGATGGCAATACATTGCACCCAAGCTTGATGAAGACCTTTACATCGGAGTCTTATTGAGAAATGCAAATCCTGATCAAGATGGAAAAAGAACAATACAGGCCTCATTCGATTGCTTCTTTCTTGGTGGAGTTGATAAATTACTTCCGTTGATGCAAAAAGAATTTCCCGAATTGGGTTTGGTAAAAGAAGATTGCAGAGAAGTGAGTTGGATTGAATCCGAACTCTCTTTCTATGGTGGACAATCACTTGATATTTTGCTGAATAGGACTTACCTATACAAAGCCAAGTATAAAATAAAATCAGACTTTGTGAAGCAGCCAATTTCTGAAAGTACGCTTGAAGGAATATGGGAAAGGTTTTTGAAAGAAGATGTCAATGTACCATCCATGTTGTTAAATCCTTATGGCGGAAAGATGAGTGAGATTTCAGAATATGATATACCTTTCCCTCATAGAGTTGGAATCATATTTAGTATCGAATACCAAGTGGGGTGGCAAGAAGAAGGGACAGTGGCTGCGAAAAGACATATCAATTGGATACGAGAACTTTACCAGTATATGACTCCCTATGTTTCTAAGAACCCGAGAGAAGCATATCTGAACTATAGGGATCTTGATATTGGAGTCAACAACGAAGGCAACACAAGCTATGCAAATGCAAGTATTTGGGGTACTAAATATTTTAAGAACAACTTCAATAGGTTGGTGTATGTGAAAACCTTGGTCGATCCTGGCAACTTTTTTAAGAATGAACAAAGCATTCCACCTGTGTCTTGATCATGGATAAAGGGAACTGGAAATAATCCTCTGGTACGAAATAACAGTAAAAAAAAAGTTTGATCTGCCATTTGTTTAACCTTTAATAAAGGAATCATGCATACTATGGAGAAGATTCCATAGGTAGTTATTAAATGCACCTCTTTTGTAGGTGATATATTCTGTTTAGTGGTCAACCTAATTGTCTTATTCCCCCCTCCCCAAAAAAAAAAAAAACATAGTTCAAAACTAAGCTAAGTCAGATAAATTGTATTCTTTTTTGTTTTATTATTCTTACATTTTATAATTGAACTTTGTAAAATATCAAATCTAAAACTAAGCTAAGTCAGATAAAGGAAAATATAAGTGTTGTTCAAATTTATATGTTTTTCCTTGCGTTAAAACCCAAAAATGACACAAAGGTTTCAAGACTTAAAACTTCAAACGACTCCAACAGTCCATAGCAATGTTTCACTCGAAGCAAAAACAAAATTCCATGATTATCTTTTGTTTATGTCATGCTTTATAACATCATTGGGGGGTTTTAATAAAAAGAGCACTTTAGTACGTACATGAGCACAATCTTGCTCACGATAGTTGGAATGGGTTAAATATACACAGTCTTTTCCCTACGTGTAGATAGATTTTTGTAACTCAAATGTGTGACAACATATCACAATAAAACAGTATTGGAGGCAATAAATCTTGGGAATGCACCAAGAAACAACGCCCAGAAAACCCATGTTAATAACAACTTTCCATATGAAAATGAAAAACTTTTTATGCTGGAGCCGATTTTAGTGATGGTAGTATGAATTCTAACATCATAAAGAAATCTTTTCTTGATATGACTTCCTCACTATTACCATAATGCTTGAATTAGCGGGCAAGCATTGTTGTTTGTGGTATTCTAAATATAGTAAAATCCGTTATTGAAAATTTTGATTTGAAACATGTAATGTATAACAAAATAGTAGTAATCGAGTGCAAAATAGTTATACAAAAAATTGAAATAGTTACAAGAAAAACTAATGAATCAATTACATGTAACTGTTTTTTTAAACAATATAAATATTAACCCGTTTGCAAAACATAAACTATTATTGAATTTTAAGTAGATTAGGGCTAGTGTTTGACGATTTTGCCCCCCCCCCCTCCCCCCACACCACACGGTGCTTATGGAATATCATGTGTCTGCCTCTTAAGATATAATGTTCTTCTCACGAGTAAAAGTAGCACTTTAATCTGCTCATTCATCGAACTAAAAATTGTGTTGTATACTCTCTAAATGCAGACTGTCTTAATGTCGAAATACAATGCACTAATGTCATGTTTTTAATGGATGAAAAATAAAATTCAGTAACAAAAATGAGACTCACTAATCTAATGAACCCCCTTCATTTGGTATACAAATTTGAGTAGTAGATTTGAGTTACATAACATTGCTCAAAACATATATCTATTAATTCTGGGTTGAAACATTTGGTTGGATTTAATATCTCCTAATTAATTAGTTGGCTCATTTTCTTGTTATTTTAGAGGGAATGTTGAACGCCACCCCAAAAAATCTAGATGATCAAACCCTTCGTTTTTCTACTCTTTGAATAAATAATAACTCTATCTATGGAATTCATATCTGTCTCCATCCATACATATAATAATCAGATTATGGGTAGGGAGAGTTCATTTCTTTAAATTTTGCAGTTTTAGTTTGTTAAATTACAAATAAAAATTCCCTCCTTTAGAGAGAGGTCACAATATATTACATGAAGCATGAAGACCGAGCGTATTCAAAGTGTAATAGAAGATGTGGTTACACTCTAAATTAAGCAGGACAAATGGCGTTTGATCTAAATTTGGCCTATGATCAAGACTCATTTCTTTGTCATAAATTCCATTATTTTTTGAAAACTGAGAACAAAAAATTGAGTATATGTAAGGGTTGTTTGTTCACGTTTTTGTTTCCACGTCTTCAAAAAAATAAAAAATAGAGACAATTTTTGTTTCTGTTTTGTGGTAAACACTAAAATAGAAAACATATTTGAGAGTCATTTGTGTTTATCAAATTATAAGAATAAAAACAGAAAACATATTTGGTAACTATTTCAAGTTATATCTTTAACTCTCATGTTTTTTCTTTCAACAATGCTATTGCGACTTAATCAATTAAATTAATTTGATGAATTAATGATATGATCAATAATATGCATTTCTTTTATTTTTATTTACAAAATTATAATGATTCATAATTGATTGAAATAGTGATTTGCATGACAATTTAATTTCAATCCCAATTTTTTTTAAAAGAAATAAAGAATTTTATTGAACAAAATTCAAAGAATTACAAGAAACAAAGAGGGAAACAAATCCCTTATTACACCCACCAAATTAATGGCTTTAATTCTTCAAAACATAACAAAAAAACAAAATTTATTCCATTAACCCCCAATCTACCATGCTGCAATGACTGCATAGTCACAATGAATAAAGCACAGAGTGTTTCACCCTCTAAACTGGCAACCTCTTCTGGTCTTGTACCACAAGCATCCTTCCTTCACATGGCAAAAAACCCACAACAGTAAATTCAGAGGAACTGCTATCCTGGACTGCCTTCTTGGCCAAACAATCAGCAACCATGTTCGCCTCCAATCCCTGCAATAGAGCCAAGATTTGAGACAAAATGCCCCACAACCTCCAAGAAACCTCATTCTTTCCCAAGACCATTGGACTAAGACTTTGGAATCAGATTCAATCAGAATCTTATACGCCCATTAAAACCCTTCAGCCTAGCTCGCGCGTGTTTTGTGTTTCGGGGATTTCCTGGTACACAATTTTTTTGTTTCCATTTTTTTAGCTTGTTTCCAATACAACTAAGATGAAACAAAAAATAAAAACAATTACCAAACACGTTTTTATTTTCATTTTTGACAAAAATTGAAAAAAAAAAAAACACAAACAAGAGACAAAAACACCAACCAAGCAGCCCCTTAGATAACAAGTTAGAACTGTTTTGTATGTTTTTTTGAAACATTTCTAAAATTAAGAAAATATCACTACCACAACGTCTACCACACCATCGTCACACTTCAATCACCACCACACTTTCACCACCTCTAACACCATCACACTTCCACCACCACCGGTCCACCACCACTACACTCTCATGATCAGCATTCCACCAACACCACTACACTTCCATCACCATCACTACATCGTCCACCACATTTCCACCACCACCACACTTTTGTTTTCACTGTTTTTTGGGATGTTGTTAAAATAAGTTTTATTATTTTTTATTCTGTAAAACTGTTTTTGTAATCATATAATCAAACAACTTTTGTGACACAAAAATATTAAAAATAATTTTTTAAAACTCTTCCTAAAAATAATTTTTAGATATTATTTTTTGAGAGACAAATCTATATATACTATGAACTGTTCATTCAATAATATAATATTTTAGTGTTTTCTTCTATGTGAGTAGGTGGAGGAAGGTACAGATTATGAATCCCATATATTGCGAAGGGTCATCACCAGTAACTAGAAACAACCACCATGACCACATCATCTAGATGAAATGTATAGGCCATACAAGTGGAAATTCCACGAGACAGACCATATTTAAAAAGAGAAAACATAAAATCAGAAAGATTGACTAGTAGATTCTATATCCTGATGTTGATTCAAAACACATATCATATATGCGGGTATAATACAATGAAAATCAGCAAGTAATACAATACAGAGATCCCCCAACTATGAACTCGGTATCATTTTGGTCTATCAACTTCATATGATTATTACGTGTCTTTTGATGACGAGACTTACAACCTTTAATAGTGCAAAATACAATTTAAAATTTTTCAGGGGACATCACTTTTTATAAATATAAATTGCAAACTTCAAGAAACAACATATCAAAGTGAGGGAGTTGTCTACAGTGCCGAAAAAATAAATTTCGATATCTTACCAACTTTTATTAAATTGTGGCTTCTTTATTATATTTATGGGTATTTTTGTCATTATTATGATACCAACAATAATAACAGTTATCACAATAATGGTAAAAATACTCATAACTGTGGTAAAAATATTCACAAACCAGAAAAATTGTTATAATTAACAATTTTATGCAACCATTTTCTTTAAATAGTTATCATTATAAACAAATTTATAATTCATCAAGATCAATGCTTGTAGAATGCTCTTGAAAAAAATATTAGTTTGGCTCAAAAAACAAAAAAAGTTGTTTTAAATTTATAATCATAAATTTTGGTGTTTGATTTTTGGAACAAAAATTTTGCAGCATGTTTTAAATTTTAACAAATCAAAATTTTGTTTTCTTTGGCATCATCATATTAACACCACATTATTCTGTTGCTGAATTTGTTTTTTTTTTTGGTTAGCCTAACAATTCTGTTAAATATAAATCATATTTTTAACTCGTTTGTATAATGATTTTCATTTTTTTTTCTCGGTTGACCATCAATCCCATCAAAGCAAATTTAATGAGCCACTTGGCCCATGTGTAGCACTGTCCCTATACGCCAATTACTAATTTGTGCGAGCAACTTACAAATTTTTAGAGTTAAGTTACAATATTTTAGGGTGTTTATTGTCGATCCTAAACATTTTAAGAACCATCCTAAATATTAGAATATGTTAACCTTAAAATGTTAACATCGATCCTAAACACCAAAAAAATAATTTTATCCTCAAAGTTTGTAAGTTCATTCCAAAAAATTGTTATTTGACTTTTTTTGATTATAACTAAATCTCCAAAAATTATATCTTCATTCAAAAAATTTATAAATATTGATGTGGTATTTACTTAGGTACCATAGTCAAACTCCTATGTAAATGTCACGTTGATCTAGACCCTACAACTAACCCTGTCGAATAGGGCATGGTTTGTTGATTTTCAAGCACTCAATCTTGACTTTTGTTTGAAGCTTCGGCTGGCCGTTGGGGGTTGGTCAGGAAATAACATAGAAACAATTTGTAACCTAAGTACTATAAATAGATGGAGACATTTCTCAACTTTTGCACACAAAAATTCAAAAACAAACAAGCAATGACAATGATCACCTCAAGAGCTTGTTTCCTTTCACTTCTGTTGGTTTTCCTCTTCACATCTTCATGGGCAGCTTCAGCTCATGAAAATGAAGGTTTTCTTCAATGTTTATCCTATCGATTCCAAAACACCATTTCAATTTCCCAATT